TATAGCTGTTTAAACATTTGTTTAACATCAAGTATGTACAAGCTGCCCAGTGTCGCCTAACAATACGAAGAATTAAATTGTGGCGGAATGCTACCAAGTTCTTCAAATACCTATAGAATCATAGGTTTCTTTTTTGTGAGTGTAAAACACTTAAATACACCATTTCGATTTTCGATACCTCACTACTATAAAGGCTTGGTTTGGTCTGAAGTTTCATCCCCCCATTTATCTATCCTGATTCATATTACTCGATATACCTGTTGCTAGTTCCCACACAATCTCCATTATGTGATACAGACTGGTGAGTGTTCACCCATATTTCCCTGGATTATCTCCTCCATCTGCAAATATTGCGTTTTCCCCAATTTTCCGCCTCTTGTGCTGATTTGCACACTTACCCGTCTATTATTCATTTTACCCATTTTTCTTTTTTCATCCCTTAGCTGACGAGAGGGCTTAACCCTCCACCGGCCCGCCGGTCCCCCCGGGATCGGAATGAAATAACGCTAACGTTGTTGTTGTTGTTAAGCTTCATTGGTGGTAGTGTCCAGGGTTACTGATGAGGAGTGGAATTCACAGAAACTAGTCTGGCCCACAGACACGCCCACAATGAAAGAATAGACCATTCCAAGCTTTTACTTGTTGTTAAACACATGTTTAAACAACTCTATTCAATAGACTCATGTTGTTAAGCCTAACTCTGAGTACCCGAATAACAGGATAGTTATCGTTATCTCTCTATATACATTACGTACAAGCATCTCTAGGCAGTATTGTGTTTTTCAAACAAAAAATAAATGTGGTTTTATGCTTTCTTAGGGAAAGATTTCTTCAGATCATGGAAGATTTTAGGTAATGATTACTTCCCCCACCTAAGGTGGACGGAGGTTATGTTTTCACCCCCTGTCAGTAAGATTTCTCGAAAACGGCTGAATGGATTTGAACGGAAGTTGGTATGCAATTGGACTATGACCCAACTTAGAAGCGATTAGTTTTTGGTGGGTCAAAGCCACAGCAAGGTCACGAAAAATAAAAAAAAATCCCTATCTGTTAACATAGTGGGACCGATTTTTCAAACAATTTTTGCTCTATAACTCAGTCAAAAATGATCGGATTTTGACGAAACTTGGTGGACACATGTGGAATATTATTTCTCATTGTCCTGCCAAAAATGGTCCGTGTCCGATGATAGCGACGGACACACGGGTACATTTTCGTATTTTTTTGAGAGCCGAACATGACCAACAATGCATGGCGGATATGTGCGCTTTACTGAGTGCCCCACTAACTTTAAAAGATCTAATTTAACTAAAAAAAAGGAGATTTTGAAGAAGAAAGTTAAACCTAAAATAAATGAAAACATTTCCCACGTTATTCGCATTGAAGAGAATCTTAGAATAAGCACCATAAGAAATACGTGTGGAACTCTGTTAGACTTGATTATTTACATTGGTGTTGTCTGAAGGCTCATAACGCTAAAAAACAGAGTTTTGATTTTCGTTGCGGACACAGCACAGATGGTCCATTGTTTAGTTTTGTGCTTAACTATAAAAAAAATGACAACTATATACAGTGTTGTATACATTATTAAACAATACAATCACGCGTAAGCTTAAACTTTATTCTGAATTATGTGCATTGATAAACACCTGAAAGATACGGAGGCTTGTGCCCCTCTATGATTCGTATATGCTGCTAAGCAACAGAATGGTTTGAGTTTGAACTTCCAATCACTTGTATACACTGCTAAGCAAAGAATGATGAGGGGCTTCAGCCTCAGTATGACTCGTTACATTGCTAACCTACAGAACGATAGGGGAACTTGAGACCCCATGTTCCTTTATAAACACCACTGAACAATAGAAAGTTGGGCAGACTTGAGCCCCCATGTAACTGATGAACACCGCTAAGCAAAGAATGATGAGGGGCTTCAGCCTCAGTACGACTCGTTACATTGCTAACCTACAGAACGATAGGGGAACTTGAGACCCCATGTTCCTTTATAAACACCACTGAACAATAGAAAGTTGGGCAGACTTGAGCCCCCATGTAACTGATGAACACCGCTAAGCAATACAATGACAAGTAGGCTTAAGATTATATTTTTATTCATCTGTTGATCTGTAAACGTGTATGTGTGTGTGTCTCGTTTTCTGTTCGCCAGTTTACTTATCTACCTTTGTGTTCGTCAGCGTGT